GTACAAGCTTGTTGCCAGACTTTTTTCCCCCTGTGGACAGGTTTTTTTTGGATGTCTATTGTCTTTATATAAATCCTCACAAGATAAAAAGCAGACTTTTGAGGGATTTGTTAAGTTCTCTTATAAACTATGTGATTTTTATTTAGAAAACAGTTTATCTAGATTTATGAAAGAGTTATTTAAAAGTTTCTTTCTTTCTTTTTTTTTTTCTTTTTGAGACAGAGTCTCACTCTATTACCGGGCTGGATGGAGTGCAGTGGCTTGATCTTAGCTCACTGCAACTTCAGACTCCCTGGTTCAAGTCCTTCTCCTGCTTCAGCCTCAGTAGCTGGGATTACAGCCATGCACCACCACGCCCAGCTAATTTTTGTATTTTTAGTAGAGATGTGGTTTCACTATGTTGGCCAAGATGGTGTCGATCTCCTGACCTCGTGACCCGCCCACCTCAGCCACCCAAAGTGCTGGGATTACATGCATGAGCCACTGCGCCCAGCCAAAAGTTTCTTCTTAATTTTAGTCTTGACTTCAGTAGTGAGAAGCTAGATTTGGAAATAAGGCCTAGCACAGCTTTGAAACATACTAACTACGCATATTGTAGAATCGGCCACAGTTATTGGAGAATTTAGTAGGTAATGCCCAAATGTGCCCAAGGTGCTCTCCTGGGGGGAAAAATGCTCTTGGTAGAAATATGGTTGTACTGCTAACTGCAATCCACTGAGGTTGAAGTGTGTTGTGCCTCAAATGTTCTATGTTGTATCTTGCCATTGGGTTTAGGTCTCTATTTCATTAATATCTCTTTTCAGAAAGTATGAAAGTCAAGTTTCCTGATAATTGGAGCTCCTTCTAATTTTGTGGGTATTTCCTTGTGTTATTAGGTATTGAAACTGAGCCAGGATCTTGATCTCCCCAGTCCCAAAGCAATGATGTGGGGATGTGTTTTTGCCCCAAAGAGAACAGTAGGCTGCTGGTGTTAAACAGCTGCTCTGTCTCTGTTGATACACTTATCAGTGAAAGCGGGATCCTGTTGTCATTCTGCATCTTGGAGTTGCTATCTATGTTCCTTGAAGAATTGGAAGTTTGTTCCGTCCATTTTTATTAGCCTTTACACAGCGCCAAATCCTTATGTTCCTGTACCAAACTACTTATTTGCCTCTAAAACCAAAGAAAATAACCAGTATCCATTTCTTTTTTGTATTTTAATGGGTATATTTCACAGTGCTTCTCAAACTGTCTGTTCTGAAACTGCAGAACTTTTTTGTCTATCACAGATACTTTGTAAAACAAAATTTTTAAGTGACTAGAAAAAAGAATACCTACAAAATAGAAGCCTCAAATGTTATTATTAGCTTCAACTGACATCATACTACTCTATGAGATTGCTATGAAAGTATTCAAATGCCTGCTCTAATGAGCTGAGTGGTCTGTCTCCTCATGAACCACTACAAAGCACTGGATCACATTTGTGGAGCCGTGGTGTAGTGGCTGATTTTTCTCATCATGACAGCGTTGGTTTTCCTTCAGGAAGCGCGTGCTCAATCTCTCTCTCTCTTTCTCATCTCTTTCACTAAGGTACGTGGGCACATAGCCCAGATCCATTGACGTTCCAAAACTTTTGCTAAAACTTTTGGAGGAAAAAAGTAATTATTTCTATTGAGATTGCTAGAATGTAGATAGTGTCCTT